TATACATTTTGTGTTCTATCATTCATTTTGAGGGACTTGGTTACAACGTACTATGGTTATAACGTACAAATTCTTAATTCCCCCGAGGTACGTTGTAACGAAGTTCGACTGTACCTGTTCAGGTACCACTTAGGGAGCTTTTCCACCGCACCAGGTACCGTACTTTCGGTACTTCCATGAAGTACCAAAAGTATGGTACTTCTTTTGTGTTTGTTTTCCACTAGGTTAAAAACTGGTACCGGCGACAAATGACATCATCAGTGATCGCCCCTGACTGACATCACAGAGCGCAATGCTGTAATTCTTTCGCTAAATTCAAACATGTTATTATATGATCCATCACTTTCCTGTAGTCCTGCTTAAGTTTTTTGATTTTCAAGAGGCATTGTTCGGTGTTTCGCGTGTGCCCCATTTCTTCCAAGTGGCTTGCTATTATGGCAAATACTGTTTTATCCGAGTCGTGCCATCCAAATCCAGCTCGATCTTTTCATCCGACCATATGGCGATTAAAGCCCGTGTTTCCTTGTTTGTCCATCCTTCCATTTTACTTTATATTTGTTTCTGCTGCTTTTTATTTCGTTTCTCGCTGTTCGCAGTGTGTATTTTGTATTTCAGCGGCAGACTATTTGCATAACCAATCGACAGCAAATAGGTTTGTAAGTCCCACCCCAAAGTACCAAAGAAGTACCCCAGCTGGTTTAGCACTTTCGGTACTGGACTCGACTGGAAGTCAATGGAAAAGCGAAAGTACCAAAAGTACCGTACTTTGTGCGGTGGAAAATCACCCTTAGACACCTGCAGTTTTAAAAGTATAATTTTAGCACTGGTATCAGACAAAACCCAAACGATGCCCAACCCTATGTGTCCCACTCTCGCAGGAGTACAAGTACATGCACTGCAGCTTAGGACATACTCCTTCCTCTGAAACCATTTTTTATTAATTAGTCACATAGGGTAATTCATTCACTGACTCTTGACAAGGCAGATGTCTCTTGAATTCTGCCTAGTGCTAATATACTTTGTATATGCTTATACACTGCCCAGCCAAAAAGTAAGCAAGTTACCATTTGAATTTAAAACAGCAAATATTTAAAAGCCAATTACTGGATCATTATTACATATCATCAACTTAATGCAGTGATAAAGTGAAGTTAGCAGAGTACCTGAATCTAATGAATGACCAGGCTAGCCCATCAATGGATTTTTCCTTTCCTAATGCCATGGAAATATTCCACAACGATAATGTCAAGGTTCATAGGATACAATTTGTGGAAGAGTGGTTCAGGAGAATGAGAAATTTTAACACAATTTGGCCACCACAGTGTCTTGACCTTAACCCCACTATAAGTATTTGGGATGTGCTGAAGAAGACTTTACAGAATGGTCCAACTCACTTGTCAATACAAGATCTTGTTGCATTCATTTCTCAGGTGTGGATAAATATAAATGCTAAGATGTTGCATAAGCTTGTAGAAACAATGTCATGACATATGTACCATGATCAAAGCTAAAGGCAGTCCAAAATTCAAATGGCAATTATTTTTTTTGCCCGGGTAATGTCTAATTCTATATACTACTGCATTATATAATTCGTAATCATAAATTCTTCGCATGCATTTTGGATTGGAACATTTGTTCTATTAAATGTTTGGCTTTCAGAAAACTGAAATATCGTGTTTGGCCGTGTAGGATGTGACTTAATACAGCCCTTCAGAGTACATAGTGAAAAATGCACTTACTGTAAGTGTACTTGAGTCATTGACAGAATGCGCGTAAGGGTAATTCACATGCAATGTCCATATTTTGGTGTTTCTCCACCTAAAGCACATATCTAGCTTAAGCACACTTAAACCCCAGACTAAAGTCGATGGGGGAATTCGCTTAATATATATTTTCAAAAAAGCACGCAGCTATATGCTTTTTTGACTTAAATGCATGGGAAAATATACCCAAATAATGCATATTGGAGTTTTTCAGATATAAAGTACACTGTAAACCACATTTTTTTCTATATAATATGATCCATTACAACTCATCACTTGGCAAGGAAATATAGAAAAACTTCCAATATATAAAACAGATCATTAAAAAATAAATGTGCTACAACATTAAAAAATACAGGCTTCCAAGAACATTTTATGGAGCAATGGGAAACATCCACTTTGTCAAAACAACCAGGTATTATCCAACGTTATCAAATGTATTGGGGTTGTGCATTTCATTCATTTTATTAACAGACAACTGCACCTGCACAAAGTATGCAAACAACGTTAAAACACCAGAGTAGATATTTATGGTGCATTTTGTAAAAGAATTCTATTGTGGGGAAATCTTTAACTGCCTTCTCTACTTCTTCATTCCAATGCTGTCATATTTTTTATTGTTTTCAAGTTTTTAGTGCTCCAAAAACACCCGAGATGCTATGACAGAGTAGCTTATGAAACACACATAAACTGCAAAGTAGAAAACACAATACACATGGTAGAATTTTTTTTAATTGCTATTACTTAAGCTGGACTACTTCAGTTTAAAAAACAAAAAAAAAATATTGACAAAAAAAATAGCACAATCCCCCTTCAGACATTCTTCTATTAGTTGTACCTAAGCCCACAAACCAACTTACCTTTATATAGCCGTCTTCTTCTGAAGGTTTCCATCACACTGCTTCAGCAAGATCTGGCAGGACAGACTTCTCCCAAGAATTTTTTTAATAAAACTGAGAGCTGGTAATTGGAAAGGAAAAAAAAAGAGAATATCTGACCGGGCAAATTCCTCTTAAGAGTGAAGATCCTTTCAGAATGGAGAATTTCTTTCAAATGCAAGGGGTGAGAAAATTTTAAGATGCTAAACAACAACTGAGGAATCTATGCAATTTGCCAAAAGAACCAGGTTAATGACTACGATATTTTATAAAATGTATTTAATATTTCCTGTCAAGTCTGCCTTCCTGCTGTGGTAGACTGATGCCTTGTTACTGAATTAACAGAAAAGGAAGAGAATTTAAGGAAGATTTACCTTAAAAACGCCTAAATAAAATTTATGAACAATTTTCTTATATAGACAAGATGAATTTTCATTGTATCAAAAAGATCTTTAAAATGTCGACGCAAAGAAGAAAACGTACATTTACTCATTTTGGGAGTACTGTTTTTTCAGTTTTTTAGTTCCAAACTAAAATAACAAAAACAAATGACACTGCCATTTGAATAAAGTTTTATTACTATGCTAACAAAAACGCAAAGTGCAAAAATGTACCTTCCTTTAAACAACTGACAGTAATTTAACAAAATAGAAATAAAAATTTCGGTTGATTTATTTATTTTTTTACATGAAAACGAAATAATTTTTTTTAAACTAATTATACAGCCTCAAACATTTCTCAAAACTATACTCTGCACCTTCCTGTGGCGAATAGCAATTTTATTTATTCTATTGTACCCAAAGCTCTAAATTTATCAACCGAATTATGATCCTGTACAGACTAAAGATAAAATGTATGTTATACATTTCAGTGATTTAATTAAAATAACGTGAGACGTCTTATTTAAATTCATTAACGATCCAGGCTTGTACAGTCTTTAGAGTCTAGATTACAGCCTTCTAGGGCTCAAAATATGATTTTTTTAACAATCAAAACAAAAAAACAAAGCAAGGTTACATTTTAAGCCAGTAAAGACGAAAATGAGACGAGTGTAAAAGCGGTTTAGAGAACGAAATGTCCGCACTAGAATTCCTCCTTTAAGAGCCACAGGCAAACAAAACGCGATCTGCCAGACGAGGGGGTGTATCGCACCAACGTGCACCAGGAGACGACGATCTTGTCACTGATAATTTTAACCTGGAAAGAAAGCAAATCACGAATCAACTGCCTTTTCACTGCACACATCACGCGTTTAAAAATTGGTCTTTTACCCTTGCTACAGGATGGTTTTTTGAGACTATGAAACCAGTTAGTTTTGATTGTTCCCTACATTAAGGTTTGAAACACTAAGAATTTAGGACATACTTTACGATAATCATCGATTTCTATTTAATGGCAGGACTCGTCATGAAGGCTTGATTAAGTAACTTTTAAAAAAACAAAAGCAGTCAGGGTCAGCTGAATTTACCCTTAAATAAGCTGAATTTGAACCTTGCACTGCAGTAAGAAAAAAAAATTCTTCCGTGCAGCTGAACTTCATCCTCCTGCTGGAAGAAATGTCACCCTCAAGGGCAGATGCAGCATTAACCTATTCTCACCTGTTGAAAACGCACTGATGTATGGTTAGTATGAGTAGCGTGCAGGCGGTGGTGGAGGAACAGGTTCCCTGGCACGAGGCATTCCATACATTGATGTCCTGGACATGGATAGAGGGGAGAGGCGGGAACGCTCATACGAGTAGCCATTCCCCGCTGTAGCAGAAGGAGCAGGAGGCCCCCTGCGGATGGGACTGCGGTCCCTTGAGAAGTATGAAGAGGGGGGAGGGGGCACAGGGTGACGCTCACAGGAGTCAAGAGCAGACGATGGTGGGCGCTCTCTTACGGCATTAGAAGGAGGTGGGGGAGGAGGTGGTATGGAGCTCACCCGTCGCTCCTCATACGAGGTTATGCCATATGGACGAGCGCGGTACTTTTCATAGTAATCCACCACCCCACAGTTAGACCGTTCACGATCAGGGTAGAGACCTTGTCTGGGGGGTGGGGGGGGTGGTGGGGGTGGAGGAGGGGCATAACCATGGGACACAGGATGACTAAAGCGATCCCTGTAGTAACCTGGTGGACCAGACTCAGGCCTATCCCCAAGAAATTGAGGGTACCAAAAACCTGGCCTATCAGGAGGGTGGTGTGGATATTCTTCCTCCTCCTCACCCCTTGGTCGGCTCTTTGAGATCTGCACATGAATCCGTTTTCCTTTAAAAGAAACCAATGTTAACTCACAAAAAAACCCTACCTGACAAAAAAAAAATTAAACAGCCACTTGATGACAAACAACATATTGAAAATTCCATGATACCGTTTCCCTCTCTTACCTCAGACTTTTCCCCAAAAACGCACGAGTAGGAAGATACCCATATATAGACCACACATCAAGTCTGATATGAAACATGACACTCAGCACTCAGCCAAGAAAGGCCTCCAAAGTTTTCAGCAAACTAACTTTTTACCACCATTTGAAGACGCTTAAGAAGACTTGCCAGGTGTGTTGAAAATTGCCAGCAATCACATTGACTCTTTTAAGCAGATCACAAACCTAGCACTTCCTTACCCTGAAAATCAGTATTGTCTAAGCCTTTGATGGCATCCATTGCTTCCTCTGAGTTTGCCATGTGCACAAAGGCAAAATTCTTGATGGCAGTACATTCAGTCACAGTGCCATATTCTTCAAACAAAGCACGGAGTTCATCATCACAGCCCTTCTCGACATTTGCCACATGTAGCTTGACAGGTCCCTGGTTTTTACCATGGCTGGCCTCCACATTTATTGGCGTGCCGTGCAGTTTGTAGAGATGCAGACTGCGGATGGCTTTTGTGGCAGTTTTACGGTCTTCCATGTGCACAAAGGCATAGTTTTTGATGATGGCACACTCAGTAACTGCCCCGTACTGAGAAAAGAGTGCCTGAATTTCATCTGCGTTTGCCTCACGTGGAAGGTTCCCGATGAAAATCTTAACCATTTTATTGCAAAAATGTCTTTAGAGCCTAGCAAAAAGAGATTGGGAAAAAAGTGTAAGCATTTTGAGTGGCAAACGTGAACTTACGCATTCTGTGAAAGTGTCTATAAACTGACTTATACTGAGCCCACTGCCTATCCCTGAAGTAAAGCTGGCTATATTATTAACATTAAGTTGCTAGAAATCTTGATACAAGTAAAACTTATGTGACTTTGTTTTTTTCCCCCCCTAGCATGACAACCTCGTATGTGCAAGGTACATGTCTATTGGGTTCATCATCTCCCAGTTTGCTGTATTTACAATGGGTTTGCATGGTTGATGAACACAAGGAGGGAACTCACACTGTGACCTACAACATAAACACAAATAAACCCTTGGGGTAAACATGAACTTTTAAATTTGTTTGAATTCTATGTGAAGTCAGTGAGTAGCCTAGGGCACTGCAGGCATGCATACATGCACGCACACACAACGCATTATTATTTTCTTTGTGGAACAAATGACCACTTAATTTTGCATACTGTCCTATAATGAACTGCTGAAACATGAGTGTCTTTAGAATGATTAGTCCATTTATTTATTCCAACGCACACTAAATATACAGAGTGTAATTAGTAATAAAGCATTGTAATTATATACAGAAATTCATAATCTGAAAATTCAAGGAGTATGCACTGTTGTCCCCCCCACAGTCAACTTCAAAGCACACTTTACCAGATGTCTCATGTTGTTTTAAGAGTTATTTTACCAGTTATTACACCATTTGTACCATGAATGGACACTCAGGGCAGCTAAGTGTAAAGAAATATTAAGTGCACAACCAAATATTCAAAAATGAATTAAAGATCACCTGTAATGAAATATGGAAACGCAAGGAATGTGCAACAGTTGCCATTAACTCAAAAACATCTCGTTACAGCTGACACAGCCTTTTTACCAACACACAACATTAAACACAAATAGTACATCGCAAAAATGATCGCTGAGCATCGCCGACTGTATATTGGATATGAAGACTTTGCAAAAAAATAAAAATGTCTGGCTTGGGAAAACTGAATATGATGCTAACTTCATCATGGCTTAACAAGAACGTTTTTATAAGATACATTCAATAATTGAAGTAGAATTTTATAAATTATGTTAATTTTATGCTGCCTTTTAAAACTATGCATGCTAGGCCTAATGATGTGGGAGGACAAGCCCACTGTCCTTTGGCAGGCCTACAACTGGCAAGGAACTTATCCCATACAGTCTATTATTGTTAACCTTCAAACAAAATATACAAGAGTCTGGTATAGGCCAATATTGATTTAGTTGAGTTGAAGTGTGATGAGCCTTGACATTTCTGACCTTTTTAGCTCACTGAATTAAGGCTTTGCTCTGTGCAGTGAGGCTATGATACTTTTGTTCTAAGTGGTATGTGGAGTGTTCCCTTTATGAATATTTTCCCATGTTTTGGTGTTCTGAATTAAGCTTCAGTGAAAGAGTCTCTAGAAAATTAGCTATTTTTTGCAATTTGTAATGTTTGGTGAGAATTCACAGGGCACAGCTAAGCCTATGCCTATCTATCATGTTCAGTTCGTTCACTGGATTAACCATTCAGCTATTTGCTACTCTGTTAACCACCAAGACCAATTTCTATTTTGCAAATATCTAACAAAATGAGTTTCATCTATCCCTATCTTCACAATTACATCAGGTTATAATAGGCAATGAAGATGAATACCTCGTACATACCATTTTGTCATATTCACTTCCTCTCAAAACCTCCTAAGTGACATTCATGTTGTATTATTTATTGAACTAATAAAGTTATCAATACGAATCTTATTTTCCAAATTCTTATAAGTCATAAACTCAATGAAACTGATAGGAAATTCGTTTTTGTATTTACTGTAAAATAAAGATTTTGCAGATACGATGTATTAGTTAGCCGACAATCTGCTCATCGAGAATGGGATAAATCACTCAGTTCAACAACACCAGGAAATGATTATCTCGACCTGTAAGAATTTAAGTTATACTATCTACCAAACTAACTTGAACTACATTAATAACAAAACGCCAAACATTTTCATTGGTGACCATTCATATACTTTCCAGAGCTCGTTGCTTAGGAATCAAAGCAATTAAGAAACACTCCGACCCCTAAACTACCAGAAACTAAAGGCCGCAAGCCACAATGGCGGCGGCGGCGGCGACGGAAACAGACAGCAGTTGCAAGATCACTGCTAATGAACTTCTACTTGACTGCATAATCTGGACCTTTTATGTTTTGGCTAAACCATGTTTCTGAAAGGCTTAATGCGTCAAATTAATAAAACAAATTACAAACCACGACCCTGCCTCGCATTACCTCCAGCTTTACTAGACAAGTACTTTGCTGAATATATAGGTGTAATAATTATGTATTTTTAACAAGAAACAATTAAGACCACGATAAAAGTAATATTTCTGATACTAATAATCTATTTACCAGAAATATCTTACCTCAGCCGTTCTACGTGTACAAAAAATAAAATGGCTTCTTTCCTCTTCTTCAGAAAATTCTTTTTGTGCCCGCCCTTCGAAAGGCTTCAGGGCTGATTAAAAACTGCCAATTGATTGGAGTATTTCAATGTCGCTCGAGATTTTGCACTGGAGACGAAAGACCCATTGGCTGAACAGCTTTCAAAAACCAATCAGCGTCTTTCATAAAAAAATATCTCCGCCTTTCCAGAGTATGGATTTGAAGTAGTTGTATTGCTTATAACCCCGCTTAATACGGAAAGCGTTCGCATTGTACAAGTCTTGGCAGTGCGGTAGTTCTAAAACGTTTTAAAAAGTGTTTTGTGGTTAGACAGTTCTAGAGAATGTAACCGAGGTTTTTAACGTTAAAAATTACTGCAAAACACTATTCACACCAATAATCCAACAGTATCTTAGAGGCAGTTATCATGGCTTACATATAGAGGTTTCGCAAGGAAATGTAAAATGTAAATAACTGAGGTTTTGCTGAGGTTGTTTTTGGATACTTTGGCGCAGGGTATCCATGTTCCTTTTAGGCTTGTCAGGGTCAAATACTTTAAGGCCTGGGATTATATAAAATGTATCACAATTCGCAATATTTTATAGGCTATTTTAGTGCATAGTCTCTCTCTCTATATATACACACGCAAACACAAGAGAGAGAGAGAGTGACAGACAGGCTCCCCTGAAAAGGACACGAGCTCTTTTCAAAGCTTCCCGACGAGACGTTTAGGGGGAGCTCTAAAATTCTCCATTGCATGTTACCTTTATATTTAATTTTCCGTACATTAAGGTTCCTACAAAAAAAACAAATGTATAAATATGTGATTGTTATGTCTTTCTTCGCTCATAGCAGTAGAATGTTTTACGCAATAAACTCAGTTACTAAGTAACTAAGATATTGACCGCGATGCCACGCACTTATATATATGCGCGTGCATGTGGACTTCTGAAGTCGTGGCACTCACCAGAAAATAAAGCTCCTTCGAAAGCTACTATGAGATTTCGTACCCTGTAGCCCTGTAATTGTAAACAGCGTACTGTATATTAATTAGATGTTTCAAATTCAGGAATGCATTTTGAAATTAGTCAGAGAATAAGTGTAAATATTTGCAATTAAACATTTAGTAACGCTAGTTTACTATTTTAAATACAATAATGCGTTTGATTTTCACTGGAAACCTGCATGGACCTAAGTTTTAACATTCCTCTTACAAATCTTTCACATTGAGTCTGCACGTCACCCTTAATTACTATTAATATTAGCAATAATTTTTATTGGTGAACTAGGCAGAAAACCTCATTGTAGCTTAGGGCCACCACCTAATCCATTTCAGGCGGACACTATGAGTTACTTCAGGTTTTATAGACTACTTAAAACCGAAAAAACCTTGTGCTTGGCTAATTCGTTCAAAATTTCGTGTGGGGCAACTGGTTTGTTTCTTTGACTAAAAGACTCATCCGGTTATTTCATGTTAACAGCAGTGATACATGCCTAATTATAGGAGACTGACCAATCAGCATACAGCAATAACTCGGTGCTAAAGTAAAACCAAGGTCTTTTTAATTGAAATAATAGTTTACAAACCCTGTCCTAGCTCATAGTATCCCCCCTGACATGGACTAGGTGATCACCCTAACTATAACAAATCTTTAATCTGATTAAATCTGATTAACAACAATTCCACTTTAAACTTAGTGATAATACCGTGAAAACTGATGCAAAATGCAAATCTCAAGTTTACAATCAATGAATGATGCTATAAATTAATACTTTCTGTCATATTAAAATCGTGAATAGAAAAAAACATAAACAGTCAGTAAAGACGTTTTTGTAATTTTTTGCAAAAAACACCAGTAAATTTCTTTGAAACCCATAAAAGAAATCTAAACATTTTAGATATTGTTTCGCCAAAGACAGTAGTTAACTGTTATACAATTTCATCAAAATATTTTTACTATTAAATGTTTTGCTTTATTTAGCCATTTTATTTATGTATATGTGAAAGCAAATTAACCAATATGATCAAAGATCTGATTAATAACACTAAAGGTAAAATAATGTATTTTGTGTTGTATGAGGAAAAATAACAGAACACTGTACTAAATGCTACATATTAGTGTTAAATTACAAATGCCTTGAGAAATGATCATTTGTTAATTTTCCTACTAAACATAAATTCAATTTTCACACATTTCAACACATTTTACTGGTCATTTTAATTTGCAACTATATATTAATGAAATGAAATTATTAATATTTGAATCATCTGATTTCAACTCTCTCCATTTCGTTCAGCATAGAAAAGACCCCAGCGTTGATCTCCTCTCTCACAACGCTGAATCTTCTCTCTCCAGCCACTTGTTATGGTGTTGTAGTCCTCTTCAGAAAACTCCTGCACAAAAAAGTTGTCAACATTTTTCTACTTTTTTTTTTTTTTGCTAAAAAGCACTACAAATAAAATAAATTTTTAAATGTGCTCTGTTATTGAAATTACTAAAACCTGATTTTTCCTAATCAGCTCAGTGGAATATATGTAAATTTTGCAATCTTTGGGCCACTACATTCTGAGCATTTCCATCATTACAGATAGCTAATGGGGCACATTAGGGCTTGTTCCTGTCCCTACTCCATGTCAAGCACTGGTTTTTGAGCTAGGTAGACCACACAATCCTGCCAAGATAGCAATTAATGCCACAAACTGAGTTATTGCCAGGTTTACATTTCTCAAAGAAGACAATTGACAAAATGCCAGCAATACAATAGTGTAGCCAGCACCAAGAATCAGGTATGGGTCTTGCTGGAACTGGTGAGATACTATCATTGCTTTGTCTCCAACTTTCTTGCCCTCCTACGCTGCCAGGAATCCACTGTGTGTCAGCAGGTGGCAATCATCACCATGCAGGAGGACAGCAATAACAGGTTCTTCATGGATGGCCCGGAAACCACCTGTGAAGAATGCCAACAGGGCGCAGCTGGTGGCCACTAATTACACTAGCCAGGATGCAAGATTGTCCTTCTCAGTGCAGCTTAAAGCCCATGCTGGGAAGAAGGCAAGTTCTTGGGTAAGCAGGTTGTGTATGTTTTCTCTTTCACTGTCACTGAGTAGCCCTCAAGATGCCTTCGCTAAGGGGATTGCTGCCCCCTGTCCATTTGGGGGATAAACTGCATTCCCTGAGAACAGGTGATCAGAGCCCCTTTGTCGCCTCTCTCCTGTGGCTCTCTCCCTCCTCCCTAAAACCTTACCCTTCAGGGTAATTTTTTGGGTACCTGTGTCTCCTGTGCCTCCTTGGCAATCACAGCCCCATCACGTGCATTTGTTTTAGTAATATGTAAGTAAGGATATATGTATTGATACCTCTATAAACTCTTCCTTGATGTCCTCTGCTCTTTTCAGTTCCTTCTTGATCACCTGAATGAACTGGCTGGTCCTGTCCTCCACACGCACTCGAATGAACCCTGCTTGCTCAATCATCTAATAAAAAACAGACTTGCATAGCTATACTAAGAAATTATAACTTGGTATTTCATGATTTATGTATATCAACCAAATATTATGTGAATAATATGCAGCTTCTAATGAAAAAAAAATGTTATACTGCCACATTCTCCTCTGTGACCGTTCCTTTTTTAATACTGTGATGTACAGTACCTGTCCATATTTTTCTGGAGTGAGAAGGAGGTAGCCCCTTTGTCTGACATACTCCTGAAATTCAGGTGACCATGGCTTCTCTCCACAGCAGTAGTCAGTAATTAGTACCTTTCCTCCAGGCTTTAACCACAACTGCAGACAAAAACACATGTTTATCTTTATGTAGAAAGTTTACTTACACATTAAACAATTACTAGAATTGCTAGCTATAAAACCTCTAAAATTCTTTTGTCAAAAGGCTTTGCTAAGTAAGTGTATATCACTTAAAATTGATATTACTGGCAGAGGGATCAACGACTGATTGCAGTGTTTATGGACTGATAAATAACCTACCAATATTCTGGTTTTTAATTTTTGTTGTATTCAATCTTTATTGGTCTTTTATCTGGAAATTCATCTTGTAGGCTTAGAAGTTACTAAAAAATATTTATTAAGGTTAAAAAATACATCAAAGTTCATACAGCAACATTTTATCAGTTCATCCAGGATTTCATAATTCAGCAATGATTGAAATTATTCCACCATATTTGAAAGAACTTGCAATTTTTCAAAATTTACTACAACTTTTCTGCAAATAGCTAAATCAATAGACAGCTTGCTTTTGGAGCAGGACGCATCCTGTGAGGCAATTGCAATGCACATCACATGTGTCTGCAAAGAAGATACAGTAAGTAAAGTGAACAAATGTCATTTACCAAAGACCATTTATCAAAGAGAAATTGAAAGGTAAGCTGAAGCATTACAGTATATAGAGTACAGATGAACATACAATAATCTACACTCTACACAGAACATACAATAGGCATTTTGGAAATCAAACTTTCTGTCAATGCATTTAACTGCACCAGATGGAATAACTCATGGCCATACTTCAATGGATGTTAAATAGCTTTTAATTACACAAATAAAGCCATGGCACGGAGCTAGCATTTAAGTGTCGTGAAATGAGGACTACAAATAAAATCCCACCCCAAATACTGAGTTCAACCAATAGAGTACCTGCACGGTGAATATATTAGTGACATTAAGCCGTTAATGTAGAGCTTTATACAACATACCTTTCTGTGATCATACCTTTAATTGGTTGTACGAAAATCTACCTAGCACATCACCAATCAATTTCCACTAACAGATGCACATGTAGTATAAATTATGGGTCAAACGCAAAACTCATAGAAAGACATTGGATCCTAAAAGAAAACCAAACTGGATGACAAACAAAACAGTTCTTTTGGCACAGTTGGTGCTTAAATGGAAGGAGGTAGTGTGACGAAAGTTTGGCCCAGCTGTTACAAGCACGGACAAAAAAAGCTTAGGAGGCTCGGACAAGGCTTTCAGCAGAGGAATGTGAAAAAAGGTGGTATAATGTTCTATCGACCTTGCGAAAGGAAATCACAGTTTATAAAGCAAGCATGCAAGCTACAGGTTTGTGTCATTACTTATATTGCTCTTATGACCCTCGCTATAATAGATGATGATGATGATAATAATAATAATTATCATTATTATATTTTTCCAGTTGCCAAAAACGTAGCATCATTATCACCTTCAGTTCAACTGTAAGTGCATTTTTAGGTTGACGTTGGAGATTGTATCCAGTTCCTAATTAGGTCGGTAACAAAAATAATGCCTTCACGATCAAGCCTGTATCTTTTTATCAACTCGTTATCATCGTAAATTCGCAGTACGTCCTTTCTTTGACGGAAAGTGCGCGGTCTCCGTCTGGGTGCGCGTAGTGCAGCTGCCATCATTCAACTCCTAACTGGCTTAGGAGTCCTCTCCAGCTGAGACCAAGTCTTAACACTTAAGAATGTTTATGCATGCCACTTATTCTTAAGTCTGGGAGTAGCAGCAAAATCACGTCACTCTTAGAATTGTGACGCATTTAAGAGTGAAATTTTACTCTGAGAAGTTTTATGCATACCGGCCCAGAACTACATGTAAGGTCAGGTCAGGTTGAGGAGCATGCGCTGATGCAGCGGCTTGCTGCACCCACCACACATTGAAACTTCTCGGGATCCCGGCCAGCTACCCCCCAGGCAGACACATCATCCAGTCCCACCCTCTGGAAATGGCCATCCATCTGCCACAGCCAGGTGTTACATGGGCGTCCCCTCGACCTGGTCCAGCCGCTTGGGTCCTCAGCAAGGAGGATCCTGCAAGTCGGATCACCCTCAGGGAAATGCGCCACATGGCCGTAACTGACTCTCCCTCACAATGCAGGTAATGTGCCTCGTTCGGGACTCCTCTAGCAACCACTCATTTGGCACAAAGTCAAATCAGCGGTACCCAAGGATTCTCCGAAGAGACACAGTACTGAAGGAGTCCAGTCTTCATCTATGTTCACTGTCTCACAGCCATACAGCAAGACAGGGAGCACCTTCATCCTCTTGCAAAGATATTGGGAATGCCACACACCCCTTTCCAGTGACCTCATGACCCCCCATGCTCTTCCAATCCGTCTGCTGACTTAATAGGAAGTCTTTACAGACATGAATGTCGCTGCCGAGGTAGGTAAATCTCTCGACATTCTCCCCGCAGACAGACACACAAGAACCACACAAGTTGTGAAATTTTGAGAATAGCTACCACAGAATTCAGAATTTTTAGCTGCAGCTATTATGAAAAAGCTGCTGAAAACATTATGCCATGTATATTAGATGTACACTTTACAGAAGATAAAATTAATTTTATGAAATGGGCCCTGGACTTTTGTCCATACAGACCCATACATATGTACGGCAGTCAGTGACTGGTTCACCAACAACCAAAGATTCAGTAGCATCTTTCTCCCTGCGTATTCTCCCTTCTTAACCTCACAGAGGAGTTTTTTTTGGCATGCTGGGTCTATGACTGAGACCCGTACATCCGTGTTAACCTCCTCCAGGTCATAAAGGCGGCTTGTTTAAATATTGTGGTTGAAGCTTGTCAGGGGTGGATAAGGCATGCCAGGGCTCTTTTGCCCCACTGCCTGGCTAGGGCTCATATTGCCTGTGATGTTGATGAGTCTCTGGTTGACCCAGATCAAAGATGGGATGCTGAGGTAGAATAAATGTGATTTCTTTCTTTATGTACAAATTGTTTTTTTTCTTTGGCTTATATTGGTAAATTCATGGAAATGATTTCACTGTATTAAATGTTCTTTATCACTAACCCTTTTACTATAACATGAGAAAGCCTACCATAGTTACAGCGGATGTAGCAGCTATGGCTTAGAACGGCTTTGATAAAAGTCTATGGCGACAGAATGCTTCCAGTGGCTCTCTGTTCACAGTCACTCACAGCAGTGGAGCAACGCTACTCGCAGTTCAACAAAGAGTGCCTGGCAGCTGTGTGGGCATGCGAGCATTTTGCCCGCTGCAGACCGACCACAAGCCCTTGGTTTCTCTGATAAACACTTGCAATCTGGACAAGAAGCCTTTACATTGCCAACATCTGCTCACTCGTCTGATGCAGTTCAACGTTAAGGCAGTGCATGTGCCGCGTAAGTCGTGGCCGACACACCATCGCGTTACCCACTTAAAGATTTCTTCTAAGACAGAGGCTGTAGTTCAAGCCCACATGGACAGAGTGAGGATCTGACCAATATCAGAGGCCAAGTTGGAAAGTATCCAGAGAGCTACCAGCTCTGATCCAGACCTTCCCCGAGTTATGCGCTACATGGTGCCCTATGAACTTACAAGTGCCCTATGAACTAAGAGGGTATTAAGCACAGAGGGCCACACAAGATGGATTTCTCATGTGCGGAGATAGGATTGTGATCCCGACCTCTATGTGGGAGGACATTCTCTGCCATCTGCATGAGTGTCATCAGGGCCTGACTAAATGTCATAAGCAGGCCAGAATGTCGGTTTGGTGGTTGGACACTGGCATGGAATTGAGCATGACCATCATTCCGCAAAGTGAACAGGCCGACTCAGAGGAAGGAGCCCCTTATAATGCCAATGCCACCAGGTCCATGGTTCCATATTGGAGCAGACCTATGCAAGCTCTCAGGTAAGCATTACCTAGTTGTTGATTACTATTCAAGGAATCCACCTCGAGTCAGCATGTCAAAGCCAAGCTCCAAGGCATGTGTGGCCGATGGGGCATTCCAAGAGAGTTACTGTCAGACAATAGAACTCAATTTACCTCTGTTGAGTTTACCCAGTTTTTCTCAGGCTGGGGAATAACTCACATAACCAGCAGTCCCCATTTTCCCCAGTCAAACAGAGCAGTGGAAAGAGCTGTCAGAACAGCAAAGTGGATCCTGCATCAGCACGATCCGTACTTGGCCTTGCTTAATTATAGGACCACCCAGTTGTGGCAACGGGGACATCTCCAGCCCAGCTGATGGCAAGACCCCTCCACAGAACCACCATTCCAGTCCTTGAGAGGATATTGGCTCCCAGCCCCATTAGCTGTGAGTATGTAGCAGCTCGGGATGTCAGGGCTAAGCTGTCTACGAGTTCTTCTACAAAAAGAGGCATTCTGCTCATTCCCTCACAGCCCTGCATTATGGAGACGGGGTACTGCTGAAGCTGGATGGAGAGACGAGATGGAGTACACTTAGCACTGTGGTAAGCACAGCCAAGGAGCCTCGGCCATATCTGCTGCAGACACAATTATTCACCGTAACCACAGGCACCTTCAGCATGTACCAGCAACGGGATAGCAACTGGAGCAACAAACCTGCCATTCCCAACCTCAATAGGCAGTGAAACAGGCCTTTTTTGACAGTTTTTTTTTGGCAGGGTCTAATGATGTTTGAATGTACCAGTTCTGGAAACTGCTGCAGTTTTGGGTACTGTTTTCTTTATGGGAAATGCCATCCTTGCGAAGGGGGGAAATGTGACGAATAGTTATTGGTTACACAAATTCCATAATGCAATGTTCCATTACAATATGTATACACGTCTGGGGATTGTGGGTATCTTAGAATGATTACAAGTAAAGTGCTGCATGCAGAAAGACATTAATTAAAAATAAGCAAGACTCTTGTCTTCAGTAAGTCCTTTCATAACATGTATTTAATGGCTTTAATGCTTCGTAATGTAATTGTTAATTAGCAAGAGTTTCTAAAATCTCTTCGTAACTAAAGTAGTTTGTAATCTTGCTCATATATGTACGAGTGCTCTGTCTCACTTGTTATTTTCTATGTCATTCTTTATTTGAACTTTTGCCTGC